ATCAAAAACTCAACTATAACCGAAGCAGTCTAAAAACGATTGAGCAATTGAGATGCTTATCTTTTTTCAGATGGAAACATAACTCTTTCTGACCCATTACGACAAAGCATCGTATCGTGCTATTACATATTGAATTACTCTAGCAGTGGTAATTTCTTTTAAAAATTTTTAGCATGCGCTTTTGATGGTATCTTTACCACTCTGAATTGTGTCCATAGCTTAGGCCATGCTGGAATTATTTAAGCGAGTCCTCGTCTACCATAATGAGATATCACAAACAATTCATTTTGCAGTCAGAATTTTGAAAACTGAGGATGTCAATGTTTTTTTGCCCTGCACTTAATTTGATATCGAAAAAGACAGCTGCTTATCGCGCATATTCTCCAGCCTTTCCGAATTAGGTTCTAAAGCTTAAATCTACCAGAAGTATTAACTATCTTCAAAATGTTTCATTCAGGACTACCCACGAGATACTCGTCATAATACAGACGACAGGCTTTGGTGTCCAACCTATCAAGTGGGCTCGCAGTGCCCAGGTAAGCACCCGGCTCTTAAAGGATATAAAGAAAGACGAGTTTTGGAAACTCATCGTCTAAATTGCTTTGCTTGCAGTTCTCTACACATTTAGTGATAGAAATTTAAGGTTAACTCCGAAATTGTTTCCAAAATGTAAAAGTTTACGATTATCCAGAGATATTCTCATTAAAGTTTTCTTTCTATGTCGGTCTTACTTCCAAATTTTAGAGAACTCGTTCTTTTCCTACTACAAGTGCTGTGGACATCTTCACAAAGAATGCTGCTCACATATGCGTGTTTGGGTAAGATTTCAAGGAGTAGATAGGGCAGTTCTACCCTCAATTTCCGATGATTTTAGGTGCTACTTCTAATCATTGGTCTCCCCCTACTGTGTATCATCCCAGCTGTAGCCTACTTCCTGCGACGCCTTATGCAGAAACGCCGACAGCGATACCATGGCGGAGTTCAGATGGCTCCACGTGACACTAACACTCGTGAAGTTAGAGAAATTCGTACAACAGTTCACAAGTAATATGCTCTATAACCTCAATTCATGCAGCTTGTATAGAAATTACTAAATTCTGCCATTTATCCTCAACACCGATGTTGTCTTCATGCTTTATTTACATGTCTTCTTAATGTGACAGGCGAACATCGTATAGGCTTTTTCATTGTATATTATATATTCATATTTTTGAGAATAGAATAGTCTATATTACTCCATTCCACCATACTTAATAAGAAAACAGAAAAGTGAAACAACCCGGAAAAGAAAATACAGTAAGACAGAAGTACCACATGTGAAACTGTACTCACTAATGAGACAGAGTAAAAGAGGCGCGCAAAGATAAAGGGATAAATGGATGATTGGGGAAATGATAAATAAAAGGTAACAACGAAAGTGAACATCAGTATGTTCAGTATTAAACAATTAATGATAGACATCAAGAGGACTGGAACGACATCATTTGCGTAATTTTCATTGCCTACTACTGATGTCAATCGAAATATGATGCATTTTACATTGCCCACTACATCTACAAGCCCTAAAGCATAATTAGGACCGATTGCTGCGGAATGTGGAATTTTTTAGAAATAAAAGTAGCATTTAAACTAAAGATCGTGGACATAAACATAGTGAAATAACAAACAGCATTAATGATTCTAAAAGCCAATCAGTTTTTCAAGAACAAAAAAAAATCCAAAAAATCATCTCAAAAACAATTTTGCGTACAAATACACAAACAGTTCATAACAGGATTAAGCTATGATCATGCATAAACTATAGAAAAAA